GAGTGTTTTGTCATCTCTGTCAGCTGAACATTGTTCCCCAACATATTTACTTTTAATTCCATTTGCAACAAGTATGACACGAATGTATGAGTATTTTCGACACATACTAGCATCTCTTCTGTATTGGGCAGCACTAAAACATTATTATAAAAAGTACCCTACAAATAAAGGGAGACATACCTATATGTCTCCCTTTATTTGTAGGGTACTTTTTATAATAATGTTTTAGTGCTGCCCAATACAGAAGAGATGCTAGTATGTGTCGAAAATACTCATACATTCGNTATTGTACTTTCGGTATCTAAATCATACAATGTTTACTACTTTGCTTATGAGGACAGACAGCCTTATTTACAGATTCTTGACATTCAATTGTAATTTCATTTGTAAATAGTTACATTCATGTGGATTTATCCAGTTTGCACATTTGTATGCATGCACTTATAGGTGCATTTGTTGTTGTTGAAGGCCTGGCTGTTAGTCTTTATTTACACTATTTTGTTGTAGGCCTACTGGCCTAGATGTTTATGCAGTTTTAAAGCACCTTGGCTTTGTTCTGAATGCACTTTGTTGTAGTTATTCTACAGAGAAAAGAAAATGCACTTGACTTGGAATTAATGTACTGTATGCATTCAAAAGTGCTGAATAAATGTTTTATGGACCCATAATAGCGATTATTATTTAAGTTAAGTTTTGCCATAATCATTTATCTTTCCATAATCAGGCAGCTGAACAACATTGGTAAAAAATTTATACATTATATATTTCTATTAATCATTTTCGGCCTTTCGGTATTCGGTTTTCGGCCAACTGTTTCCTATTTTCGGTATCGGTTTCGGCCGAGCAATTTCCCATTCGGTGCACCCCTAATATTTTTTGTACACCTATTTACAAAAACGGCAAGCTAGGTAAGGTGGCTAAAATGCTCCCTGTGTTTGCACTGTATATTTCACATCATTCATCCACATCTGTAAAGTACAGTGTTTCCAACAGAATTCTATTTGTGGGGGCACCGCCCGCCACAAATAAATCCATGTATGGGAAACACTGAAGTAACTAAAGGTATTAAATAAATGTAGGACACATTTACCTGTAAGTATCTCAAAATTGTACTCAAGTACAGTACTTAAAGTGAACCTATCATGCTATATTTGAATAATATATTGTAGGGCCATACCTATATAAGGCATATTTATACGTTTTATTTTTCAAAATACCAAACAGATCATGCATGTTATCCATTCCTCATTTCGCTCAATTTAACACTGCCTTTCATGCTCGGATTCAGTGAGAACAGCACAATCTGGTGGCCTGAAATATGTACTACAGCGTCTCCAGCGCTTTCGAACGGCAATGTCCGTGGCTGTCTCCTCCTGATTGGTGGAGTTGGCCCAATAGCCTTAGCGCCACTTCTGTGACGTCATAGAAGTGTTCAAATCTGGATCAGTCTGTATCAGATCTGTTGCAGCCCCTTTTTAAGAGATTTGGGTATGGAGGAAAATAGAGAGGGTTGTTTTTTCTGACACTTGGTGAGTTCCCTGACACACCGGGGACACATATTCATGTATAAAAGATGTACAAAGGTGCATTTTGCATGATAGGTCCCCTTTAAGTAAATGTACTTAGTTACTTCCCACCTCTGCTCACTTCATGCTTTGCTGTCCCTGAGGATTCACTCATGTTTGTCTGCAGGTCAGCTCCCATCATCCCCTCTTGGAGAATTCGGTGAATGGGACAAAAGTGCAAACGGGAGGAGGAAAATGCAGTGTACTCCTGAATCCAAAGTGTTCCTGGAGAGTCTCAAAGAGCAGCAGTGTTTTGATGACTGCGCTGACAGCGGATACTCGGGTCTGTACCACAGCCCTCAGAGCCTCTCTGCTGTGCTCCCCTGTCCAGCTTTATCTCCAGTGGAATTCAGCGAAAGGCCAAAAGAGAAAGAAAACCTCTGGCTTGCAGTCACACCTAAAGAGAACACCAGAGAAGCAGTGGAACTTTTGACTAAAGACTCCAGAGTAAAACAGCGGCCCACAGCAGTTAACTGGTGCGAAACGCCTAAAGTATACAAGAGAGATGCCTCGTTGCGACACAGACTTCTGCTGTCCAAACCCTCCACGGACAAAACTGACAACACAAGATCCCCATGCAGCAGAAGGACTGAATCTCCAATCAGAGTCAAGTCTGAACACTGGCTCAGTGCATCACTGGACTCTCTGGACACTGTGGCGGGGGCTTTTGCATCAAGCACTTTAAAATCCCAGCAGGATCTGCCACTGTCTGGTAGGAAATGTTGTATCCTCTTCACCCAAGTAAGGACCTCCACTCTTGAAGATGGTAAACTCAACTCCGGTAACCTTTCCAACTTTGAGGGAAGAGGTTTACTCACAGATGCAGATTTCAGTGAGAGCATTTCTGCCTCTGATCAAGGTCCAAATGAAACTTCATGCTTTATGAAATCCCTGCCTGCTTCTTCTAAGGAAAACTCTCAATCACGAGTCAGCCATGTGGAAAATAACCTATATGACAGCTCAAGTGGCTTGTACACCCCGTCATCCTCACATACACCAAAATATATCAGGTACTAATTTCTTGATTTTGTTGTACATTTTCTTTTATAAATGCTTGGAAAAGCAATTACGATAATAAGGACATTTTTGCTTAAATATTCAGAAACCTGCATCTAACCCCATTCTACCCCTGGAACAGGTCTGTGTGTGAAGACAGTGGTTTTAGTTCCCTGGCCCTTGATAAATCCCAAGACTCCTCGGTGGACCATGACGGCTCCTTCCTGGAGCTGCTGCTGCTGTCGGCCTCTAGAGGAAGCTGTGACACCCCCAATCTGGCAGAGGCAAGGCGGCGCTCCCGTTTACAGCGCCAGCACAGGCTCTCTACCCTTAGAGAAGGGGGCTCTCAGTCTGAGGATGACCCAGCGGAAAGAAAGCAAGACCGTCTTTACAGCCGTTCTAAAGAAGATGAGGTTTTTGCTGACAGTGCCAACCCTCGCAGCGTACTTTTTGCTAAACATAGTGTGATGTCTTATTTGACCATGGCTAAACAAGGTGATGGCTCTCCACTAAGGGAAAATACAGCCAAGCCAGAAAACATGACACCTGCTAATCCAGATTTTAGGACAACCCCAGTCAATCTGTCTCTGACTCCTGCTCTGCAGCTGGTTCATGCTATGTGCCAACAGAAAGCACACATGTTTTTTGGCCAAAGTCCAAGTCTGAAGGAGCAGTTGAAGTCCACTGCAGCCCTGGCTGAGACCCCGGTGACCTTCAGGACCACCATGCCTTTGGCAGGGCTCATCGGCAGGAAGATGGGCTTGAGGAAGGTGGACATACTCTCAGAGCTGAAGAAGAGGAACCTCAGGCACATCCTGGCCCTGGTCCTCAGCCACCTGACCCCGCATGGCATTTACAGGTTCAAGATTTTTACAGAATTAGCTACCTGAACACTTTGTTTAATCTATTGTACAACTTTGAGACTCCTTCCATATGTCTCAAAGGTTAAAAGTAGGTTGATTTGCAACGTATCGTTCATTAAACTGATAGTCATTTATAACTTGATGGCAGCATTAATGAAATAAATGAGATACTCTGAACAGAATTCATACAGCATATCATTGAAGCTTATGTCAGACCGGTACAGGCTTTTAAAATTGATTTTATTAAATTAGTGCAAAACTTGGTTATTGCTCGAAACATGAGGCCTGATAAACAGCTAGTGTTAAAGGGTCAATTGTTGTCATGCATACATTTATTTTTGTTGGGCAGGTGTGGTCGGGTGTGCAAAAAATGGAATGAAATCATCCAACAAGACAAGCAAGCAAGTTTCAAGAGAAGATGCCACCTCAGTGAAATGGAGGCGGATCTTGAGGTTAGAGATCTGATATATAACTGTTGCCATCTTCCTGCGTATGGAAACGAAAGCAGATTCAGTTGTATTTTAATTCAGTGTAATTGAACATTTCACACCCAGTTTATTAATACTGTTATAAACATTTGTTTTATAGCACGGTGGTGGTGTCCATGTCCCTGATGCCGACACCAGACTGGCTCTGCTCAAGAGGTCGGCCCTCAAGACGGTTCAGGCCCAATCTAGGTCGTTCAGCTTCTGCACCCCCCATTCAGCAAATAGCACTTTAACCCAATTAGGGCTCAGCACCTTGAATTCAGGCTGCAGCCACAAAAGGGACACATTTCTAGAAGTGAGTCTAATTTTTTTTTATTAAACTGGATTTCCTTAAATAGATTATGTAATGTTTATATACATTACATTATGGTCTGTATTGATTGCTGTTCATTGAAGTATGATTGGGGTTTTCTGATCAAAAATATTTTTATTGTTTCGACAATGCATAAGTGTTTGTCATTTAGAGATGAAAAGCAAAATATATTCATACAAATGAGACGGTGGTCTGTACTGATTGTATGTACAAAGAGATTTTTTTTTACAAAGAACACAAACAAACAATAACAACTAAAGTAATCCCCTACATTCACTACCAGTGAGCCTCATACACACGATTATACATCAGGAACATTGTTAGATAAATATATATATACATACATGCAGCAAATACCTATACTCATACAAATTGAATGATTGGGTTTTTAAAATGCATCTTACTGAAGGGACTGGTCTGGGAAGTTTATGTAAACTTAAGTCATTTTAATATTTCTTTCAGGTTGCCAAAACGCTCTTCAACGATGAGTCCCTGAAGCCATGCCCCCGCTGTCAGAGCCCCGCGAGGTGCCACTCAGTGAAGCGGGAGGGGGTGTGCAGCACAGCGGACTGCGCCTTCCAATTCTGCTCTGCCTGCCTGTGTGCCTTCCATGGCTCCAGAGAGTGTGGCAGCCAGTCTACAGGCCGCCGCAGGAAGGACATTATCCTCCCAGGGAGCGCTCAAAGCAAGCGAAATGTTCGCAGACTATGAGCAGAAAGTGCACTGTCATTTTTTTTTGTTATGCTGGGGTCACTTTAGCTTTTTTCTCTGCCAAATGGTGGAGATAAGGCTTGGCAACAAAGAGCCAGTACATGAGAGCAACTTCTGTACTTATCCATGTGTCTTTGTGCCTGTCTTTGTACTGTTTTTTTTTTCCTTCCTTTTTTCAACACAGTTCTTACTTGTGTGTTTTTTAATTATGAATGTGAAGGAAGTCTCATCAGCAGAACTATGATTTTATTAGCTGGTGATGTATTGTTCTATACACATTGATCAACTGTACAGAATGTTTTATGGAATTGAGATTTTCATCTTTTACAAATGTGTTTTCAGAGTATTTTTAAAATAAATGTTATCTTTTTTTAAACGTGTCACGTGTTTTTTCCCTTAATTGTGAAACGATTGGTCCGCCATTGACTGGAGTCCCCATAAATGTGTTAGTGTTTGGCGCCATCTAGTGGTGTTACTGTAACTTGTCTTAGCTCTTGACAATCTCATTCTCTTTAACTTTTTTCCAAATAACATCTAAGGGTTTGTTGATGGTCACAGAAAATAAACATTTCTTAAGACTTGAGGATTAAATGTTTCTGGCTCTCAGAAAGCAAAAAATCACTAACTTTGTCTCGTTCTGGTCCAGTTAATTGTTTACCACCCCCTTGTGTTTTGAAAATGAGTCTACTTCCATAGCAACCTGCAGTGTGTCTGTAATAACACCGAGGTTTGAGGCTGTCCGAAATTCTAATGTGACTGCATGGCTTCCTAGCAGCTGGATCCAAGACTGGACATTTGTATTTTTGAGGTTAACAATGTGTGGAGTAGTGTCAGCAGGTGAGATCTTTACTTTTAAGACATTTCAATTGACTTCTTTGGATCTCTAGTTGGTTTTGTTACTTATGTGACTGTTTTTAAAGAGTTGCAAAACCTTACTGCTGGCAATTTTGTGAGTATAAGTTTGGATTATTGACATGTTTAGTCAATGTTTCCATCAGTTTGTCCTTACTTTGCCTCTTTCATTTGCAGGAGAACTCTCTGGCCTCTGATGAAGTATTGGTTCACTTCAATGATTTCTTAAGTCTGCCGGTAAGGCTAGTCTGAGGTGTTGATGTAGGAGATTTTCACTACACTCATTCTCCCTTCTTCAGAGGTTGAAGAAAGAATCAGATCCTGCACTTAAGTAGAAGTACAAGAGTGAAGTGATACTCTGACTTTTAGAAGTTAAAGTGACTTCATTCAAAAATGTTTCTCAAGTAAAAGTACAAAAGTATTAGCATCAACATATAGTGAAAGTAGCGATAGTAAAAGTAGTCCTTGTACAGATTGGTCCATTTCAGAATAATGATATGTTTTATAATGATTGATCATGAAAGTGTTCTCAAAGCTGGTAAAGGTGCAGCTAGTTTGAATGACTTTGTATACAGCAGGGTAGCTTGTGAATTTACTCCAGGTGGAACTTAAGTCTGATTTAACACTTGATTATATTTCACATCATTCATCCAGATCTGTAAAGTAACTAAAGGTGTTAAATACATGCAGTGGAGTACAAGTACACCATTTACCTCTGAACTGTACGGTAAAAGCACAAAGTAGCAAAACAATTGAAATACTCCAGTAAAATACAAGTACCTAAAAACTGTACTTAAACTTGAGTACAGACGAGTAAAGAGTAGATGTACTTAGTTACTTTACGCCACTACCTTCTTATACCCTTGCCTCTTTATCCAGTCCTTCCCAGAGGCCTTACAGTACGACCCTCTGACGGGGCAGTTTGAGCTGGTGGAAGGGGCGGCTGACTTTGTCTCCAGAAGGATCCGATCTGTCCTGCACAGCAGCAAATCACAGCTCCTCACTGGAGACCCCACAGCGCCGGCCAGAACCTCTCCAGTGGACAACCGCTACACTGTCCGTGTAAGCAATGAATAATCACTTTATGTGAAAATGGATAGGTGGATAGATTAGTTTTTTCAGAGGAGCAGAACGTCTGCAAATAGGGTTAGAGGGTTGACTTCAGGAATGTGTCTCCCTGTCCTTTGCAGTGCCTGGACCGAGAGCAAGGAGTCCAGTGGATCATCAAAGAAAGATTACCTTTTTTTCTTCTCAGTGATTGCTACTGTGAATACAGGTAGTACAAGTGTTTAAACCTACTACGTCATGAACAATACAAATGAAGTTGACCTACTTTATACGAACGTTTTTATGTATTCACATCATAACATATTTCTATGTTATAAATTAACTTAGTGTTAATTTGTACTAATTGTTATCAGTTCCAGTCCTTTTCATTCTTGCCAACCTCTGCTATAACGTGAACATTCTTGCTTGCTTATCTAGATTTGAAAGAAGATTTGCTTCAGTCTTTCATCTTTTCAAAGAATGCATTTGTCATGACTTGCAAGGTGTAGCTTTTTGTAGCTCTACTTTCTTTGTGCATCTTGAGAAAAGCCTTTGGGCCAGATCCCTGTAAAGAGCAGTTTACTGACTGGCACTCATTTATAACACTTCAAAGTTGTTTAACACAAATATCAATTGCCAAGTTTGGTAATTCCATTAACATTGATCATAAAAGAAAAGGTGAGAGAAAATGATGTTCTCTCTGAATGTATTTTTTTTCTGTTCTTTCCCAGACTAGCCAAGTTGTTGTTTGGGTGGAGCCCAGTCTTGTGTATCCACAGGAGGAAAGGCGGTTCAGGTGGAACCCCCATGTCAGCCCCACAGCTGCGTTGTTCAGCCCAAACTGACCAGGAAAACAAAAAAGCTCTTAAGGTCCTAACATGCTCACATTCTCAAAAGAACAGTTCAGCAAAAGAAGGTACAGTATATCATTGTGAGATTCCTCCATGTTCACTGCAGGCTAGAGTCTACTGAGATAAGGACTCTTATATGAGCTCTTTTCTTACTTCTCAGGGTCAATGAGGATGCTCAATGTTACATGTCTATGCTCTGACCACATGGAACATCTCAACACAAAATGCAGTGTAACATTCAGATGTTCTGAGCAGGAGAACATATGTACGTTTTCTTCTTGTCCCTCCTCTAATCTTCAATTTGGGAAAACCCCAATCCTGCAGGGCACACACACAGAGTTGAGCCTGCACGCTAGAGAGGAGACACTTCTGAAAGAGTCTTCTGAAGTGCAGCTGGAGGAAGTGGCAGCCACAGTGGTTAAACAGGTGCTGAACAATGCACTGAGCCAGGCAGACACTTCTGATTGTTGGAGCACGTCAGGAGAGCAAACACATCGTAACAGCACAAACAGATCCTGTGAACGTAGAGCTTGCATTCAGCATTTGGCTGATGGGGGCACAGACAGGTTGGGGGGGGGGGAGAGAAACTTCAAGAAGGAAAAAAGAAGAGCGGAGGGGAAGAAAAGAGAAAGTGGCCTAAGAAGAATAGAGAGGTAGGGAGAAGAGACAGAGACCAGGAAAATATCCATGATAATTGTTGCCAGGGTACCTGTTGCTGTGGCAATAGACAAGGCGTTGATGAGTTAAAGGAGTTTTTGCGAGGAACGTCAGGAGAGAAGCTGCTTAATCTCTGGATGGATATAGAGAGACTGAAAGCTCCCCAGAACAGAGAGCGGAAGAACAGGTAAACATTACAACAGGATACAACTTTAACAGCTGCACTGAACTTGGGGGCAACATAATTACAAAGTGGTCCTGGTTTAACAAAGAACATTTTTGACAAAAGCTGCAGCTTTTAAAGACAAAATGAAGTATCAAATGGTGGTGTCTTCATCAGGCATTTGGTCCTCATGAGGAGCAGGTACCTGGTGAGCAGCAGCCTCTCTGTGGAGCTGCTCTCCAGGCTGGGACTCACCACCTCCCCCTGCTGGACGGAGGACAGGCTGCACTCCTTCCAGACCCCCCTCACTGAGGCTCTGCTCCACTACTGGTGAGATTCACTGTATTCAAGTTCCCTTATGGTATACAGTATGTGGGTCAAGTGTTTATTGAAATATTTAGTCCATTCATATGCCTTGCTACTGTACTTGATACAATGTGTTTAACTGCATATTGTGGTGCCACGTGATAGGACATAATTCACCTCAGGATATTGTGTTGCAACACGGACCCCGTTAGAGCGGGTGCCGGAAGCTAGGTTCATTCATGCTAGCTTCACATGCAGTAACAAGCTAATGTCTTACCTTTCTGAATGTTTCCTGTTAATAAAGTGTGGAGTTCCATACTTTACACAGCGCCTCCGACTTGCATTCTTCGGCTCTACACTGGTGACCCTGACGTTTTCGAGAAAGTTTCCGAAGACTCAATGAACATGGCTAATCGCGATGTTTTTGTAAAGCTGCCGGAGTTTTGGGAGCATGCGGCGTGGTTTGCACACGTGGAGGCGCACTTCGCCTGCCGACAAGTCCGTGATGGGGATTTGAAATACTACCATGTAGTAGCAGCGCTGGGAAGCGCCACGTCATCATCGGGATTACCACCACCTTAACGACGCCACGACACCTGACCGCTACCCGGTGCCGCACATTCAAGACTTCTCGGCACATCTGGCCGGTACGTCGGTGTTTTCGAAAGTGGACCTGGTTACCACCAGGTGCCCATGCATCCCCTGGACGTCCCTAAGACAGCAGTGATAACACCGTTTGGACTTTTCGAGTTCCTGCGGATGCCTTTTGGGCTCAAGAACGCTGCCCAAACGTTCCAGCGCCTGATGGATTCGGTGCTGCGGGACCTGCCGTTCGTGTTCGTCTACCTGGACGACATACTCGTCGCCAGCGCTTCGGTGGAAGAGCACCTGTCACACCTCCGAGCCCTTTTCACGAGGCTCAGCCAACACGGGTTGTTCATCAATCCTGCAAAGTGCCAGTTCGGGGTTTTTGATATTGACTTCCTCGGGCACCGCCTCACCAAAGGCGGTGCAGCACCCTCCACCGAAGGTGGAGGCTGTTGCGGCTTTTCCTCGCCCGCTCACAGCCCAGCCGGTCGCTCCGTGAGTTTCTGGGGATGGGTGACTTTCTACCACCCTCTCATCGAGCCGGGCCGCTCACATTATGCGACAGCTGTATGAGGCTTTGAAGGGTATGACCCCCATCCAAGGCGATCGACCTGGACGGCAGAAGCTGAGTCTGCTTTCACGGAGGTCAAGACCGCGTTGGCTCAGGCGCCCTGTTGGCGCAACCACCAATCCCCGGCTCCCATCTCCATTACCACAGACGCATCGGACTACGCGTTGGTGCAGTGCACGAGCAGTGGGTGGAGGGCGCGCTTGGCAGCCACTCGCCTTTTTCAGCGCCAGCTGGACGTCCAGAGAACGCAGGTACAGGTGCTTTTGACCGAGAGCTCCTTGGACTTTATTTGGCCGTGCGGCCACTTCCGATTTTTGCTGGAAAGGCCATGAATTTACGGCGTTTGTCGACCATAAGCCGCTAACGTTCCGCCAATGTCTAAAGTGGCGGAGCCTTGGTCGGCACGTCAGCAGCGGCAGCTTTTCTACAATCTCGGCCGGAAGCGGTTCCTCTCGTGTCGACATCAGCCGCAGACATTGCCAGGGCTTTCATTGCGATGTGGGTTGTGTTGTTTTGGCACCCCAGGTATTCATCCCGGCACGACGCGCACAGAGGCCCCTACAACCCCCTTATGATGGACCTTTCCGGGTTTTGGAGCACGGGGACAAGATCCTGGTGGTCGACCTGGGTGGCAAAGCCGAGCACGTCTCGGTGGACTGGGTGAAGGCTGCTCACCTGGACTTAGACCCAGCCGGTGGATGCCTGGCTCGGACCTCCCGCGACGGGGACGCCCCGCCGCTGTGACCCCCTGTCACGGGTTTAGGACCTGTTGTTCCGGTCCTTCCCCTTCTTCCCGCACAGGCGGATGTCGCTTTTTCCGACTCCCGTGCTCAGGAGTCGTGGGGGTCGGCGCGTCGGTTCCTCCCCGCCGCACAGACTTTGTTTAACATGTGAATACAGATGACTTCCCACAAACTTTCTACAGAAGATGGCCGTGTTGGAAATGAAAATGGCAACGGTTGGACAGTTATGTGGAAGTGAATGGACTAGGTTGGAATGACACCACTTTACCAGATGTTGCCAAAAGCATGCTAACTCAAAGCGCTAGTTAGCAGCTACAAGGATTCCAAATGAACAGGAGGGCTGTGTACCGGGGTAATTAAATCTACAGATAATAAATCTACAAGTGGTAGGTCCTCCCTGGAACTCTCTGGGTGCAAGGCCGAAGAGTAAATATTTCCATGGGATTTGGAGGACGAACAACAGGCAGAGCCCAGCGCTCTGAAACCTGTGATCGACCGGCTGGCCTGCATTGTTATCACCCAGGAAGAGCGCCTCTTCAACCCTGTTCATACTAGGAAACGGCTGTGGACAGCTACTAAAGGGAAGAACTACAAAACAATCTTCCCTAAACCACCAAGTGTGCCCAATCCAGAACAGGATACGCTCCACTGACACAGAACCAGAGATCTCTTTCTGATGACCTGGATAACCCTGTCCTCTTCACACAGCAGGGTAAGGACAATAGCTACCTCCAAAGTAAAAAGGCTAGAGGGAAAGCTAACGACTTGGGCCTGAAACTCTGATGGGGTGCTCTGCTGTAAGAGATGTACAAAGTCTGTGTAGGCCAGAGGTGTGACTTTGAGTCACATGACTTGGACTCGAGTCCGAGACTCGAGTCACCAATTTGATGACTTGGAGACTCGACTTGACAAAATCACCAAAAAGACTTGTGCTCGACTTGGAACTTGACACCAATGGACTCGGGACTTGACTGGGACTTTGAGCCCTTTCTGACTGAGGTGACTTTGATACTTTAATTCAGAGGTCTCCAACACTCCGATCGCGAGATGCCGCTAGAAGTGAGCAGACTCCCGTCGCGGAGAGAGCAGAATTCTTCAGCCGCTCTACTGAGCAATCCTTGCAGGCAGGGGCGGGTCTTTATTTAGCTGGGGCACCATGCGGCCAATCATATTGCAGAGGCACACTAGGATCAAGGAAAGGGTGAGGGCACAGCAAGGTGTAGTGGTACAGGGCCAGGCTGCACATGAGCGACGGGGACGGATTAAAATGCAAGGCGCGTCGGAAAAAGTCAAGAAATTAGGCAAAACCGAAAAAAGAATGCAGAACCTGGCCTGCATTTCCAATGATATTGGAGAAAGCAAAGCTGAGTGTCAGAATTGTAAATTGAAAATACACTTCAGAGCAGAGGTTTTTTTTTTTGTAACACTCAGGCATTTATTGTCAGAGGTGGGAGAAGTTCAGTCTTGTACTTGGTATAAAGTACCAGATTTTAGGAATACTCGGTTACAATATAAGTCCTGCCTTCAATAAATGTTACTCAGAAAGTCAACAAGTATTAGCACAACTTATAGCTCAAAGTACCACCTGTCAGAGGGATCTAGATTCAGGTGTTCCTTTTCCCCTAGAGACCGCTCGCTAGAACATTATCCCTTGCATAAAGATAGATTGGTGAGTCCCTTATAACATGTGTCCAGGGGAATAAAATTCTGTCCCTCCTAGCTCAGGGTCTTATACATTAATAATTACTTAAAACTCTTTTGCAAGTCAAAACCAGTCAGGCTAGCATTAAACCTTACTGAATCCGCTACTTAAATTAGAAAGAAGAAAAACCGTTTATTTAGCCAGCAGATGAGGAAAAGAGATTATTAATTATAATGTGGGACTAATAATAGGCAGTCATTATTAAGTATTCGGTGATCGGATGTCATTACATTTGGGTGAAAGCACATAATGTAACTTGTTTTTAAGACGTCTTTTGTCAAAGTTTAGGACGTTGGCTTGCTTGACTTGAGGCATCCAAAGACTGAACTTGAACTCGGACTTGTGGGCGGAGAGCAAAGCACTTGGAGGACTTGACTTCGGACTTGCAGAACAATGACTTTGGTTCCCACCTCTGCTGTGTAAGTAAGAAACAATACGCACAGTACTGTTTTCCCAAGCGATATGGGTCTCTGATATCTGCGGGAGACTCTCCGGGGACTTACCCAGTTTGTACCAGCAAATTCCGTATGCATACCGACCCTTCCTGTTCCTTAGGACCCTTTTGTCAAAGTGGCATTCCGAGAGCCCAGTTTAAGGAAAATGGGAAATAAGGGGAGAGGAACAGAAAAAGGAGGGTCCTCTCCCCAGGACGGACGGTGCGAATGCATGCGTGTGTATTGTACGTATATTTGCATGGTTAATTTTGGATGTGTGTTTTAT